TTTTTTTTTTTTTTGGTACCAGGGATTGAACTCAGGACCTTGCGCTTGCAAGGCAGGCGCTGGAACCACTGAGCTAAATCCCCAGGCCCCACTAATCTTTATTTAATGCCTTCTTATTTTGTTTACTGTAGATTATTTTGGATTTCCCTTAAAAATGATTATCTGTGAATGTAGCTTTGTATCTTATTTTCCAATCTTTATGTTTCCATTGCATTAGTTAGAACTTCTAGAGCTACGATGAGTAAAAGCAGTAGACATGTTTGTCTTCGTCTTGGTTTGACAGGAAATGTGTTTCACATTTCACAATTAAGTATATAGTATGTTGTGAACTTCTTATGGATACCTTTTTCTCAGCTAAAAATGTGTACTTCTCTCTTCCTGATTGGCTCGAAGAGTTTATCCTGAAAGGAGGTTAAATGTTACCAGATAATTTTTTTCTGTTTCTATTGAGATAATTTTTTTCTTTAGTTATTAAGAAAACACAGTTTTCTAATATTAACTCTGTATTTTATTCCTATAATGAACTTAACCTGGTCTTAATAAGTAATTTTTTTTTATGTTACTGGATTCTCTTTGCTAATATTTACGGGTTTTTGGGTGTTTCTGTGGTCACGTGTAGGTTGTTATATTTCCTTATTCATTCTGTGTTTTTTTGTTGTTGTTTTGTGACATGGTCTTACTATGTAGTTCAGGCATAGTAGTTGAACTCACCATGTAGCCCAGGCTGGCCTTGAACCTGTGACCATTGTCCTGCCTCAGCCTCCTGAGTGCTGGAATACAGGTGTGCACCCCTATGCCCAGATGGTTATACTGTTTTTGATTGGTTTGGTATATTTGTAGTAGTTGTTATGCTGACTTCATAGAAATGAGTTGAATATGTCCTCCATTCTCAAGAAGAGTTTGTGTGAGATTGAATATTTCTTCCTTAAATGTTTTATACTTAGCTGATGCCTTGCAATGATAGAGACTATTTAACCTGCAAGTATGGAATATATTTTGACTTTGCAGAATGAGACTGTAGAAAAGTTCATTCCATTTCAGTAGCTTCTGTTGTACCCTTGGCTAGTATAATGTTACAGTATAGCTAGCTAGCTGTAAGACTATTCTTTTGACTCTGGGACAGAGAAATGAAATTGTTCTGCTACAGATAAACCATCATAGTGACATCTAGAGAGTATATCTGGTTTCAGGAATGTTTTGATTTTTTTTTTTTCCATACTGCAGACAGAAGGACAATTTCCAGTGTGTAAACTAATTAAATTGTTATTTACCTTACAGAAGTGATAGATCTTACTCATGATAACAAAGATGATCTTCAGGCTGCCATTGCTTTGAGTCTACTGGAGTCTCCCAAAATTCAAGCTGATGGAAGAGATCTTAACAGGTTATTGCATTAATTTATAATCTTTGCTCCTCACGTTTATGTGTAGGTCAAAGGCAATAGCTCTGTGAATGCCACTCAGGAATAATTCTGCTAAGTATATTTAGTGGGACCTGCATGAAATTTCTTTTAGGAGAGGCAATGCACATTAGTTTACTTTCCTTTTTGGCTTATTTTTGGAAAAACCAAATAGGAAGTCTGTGAGTAGAAGTCTGCAGAGTTTTATAGTTCACAGTTGCTAGCAGAAAACAAGAACCTAGTTCCATGTATCTGGTAAACATTCATTCCCCTTATCAACTTTTAGGGTGTGCTTCTGGGTATTTTTAAATGAAAGATGTCATTCAACTACCCTGTCTCAGGAGGAGCCATGGGATATATTATTTGAATTGTTACTGATTCAGTGATTATCTGGTGCTGTTCAAAAACATCCATTTTCAATGGTGGTCAGTCAGTTTCTGTCATGTTACTCTTTCACTGCTGAGTTGTTTCTTTTAAGGAGCATGGGAGATGTGGGGATATTGTGTGCTGGACTATTTGGAGGCTCTATGCTTTGGCACAGTGTCTCTCTTGCCCTTTTCTTTAGCGAGTGCTTAGGGCACTGTGGTTGATATAGAAAAATTTGAATACAGTATTATAGTCATAACTAGTTTTAAATCTCAGATGAGTTCCATTATGGACCATTTACTCTCTGTTATGGAAGGGTTAAAACTCCTGTTTAAGCCTTGCTTTTTATTTACATTGTAACCTTATAGCTACCGCATACCCAGTGGTTACCCTATAAACAGTTTTTGTGAATTTTGAATTTTCTATGAAAGATTACTAACATCCTCCATATACTCTTATTGTCCTTTAATTTTTTTTTCTTTTTTTTTTGATGTGTGATATGTTGGCACAAATACTGTATAGGATGCATGAGGCAACCTCTGCAGAAACTAAACGCTCAAAGAGAAAACGCTGTGAAGTCTGGGGAGAAAATCCCAATCCCAATGACTGGAGGAGAGTTGATGGCTGGCCAGTTGGGCTGAAAAATGTTGGCAATACATGTTGGTTCAGTGCTGTTATTCAGGTATGATATTTTAAAGAGACAGCCATGTCTTCTGGAAATAATTTATTTTTTTAAACTGAAATAAGAAAACATAACTTTGAAAATGTTAGGGCCAGGGATTTAGCTTAGTGGTTCTGCCGCCTGCCTTGCAAGCACAAGGTCCTGAGTTTGATCCCCGGTACCAAAAAAAAAAAAAAAAGAAAAGAAAATATTAAAATTTGATCCTTTAGTTCATGGCTTCTATGTCATGCCATGTGTGTGAAATGGCCCCCCTCAAATTTTGTTACTATGTTGGCATATTACCTGTCTGGTATGAAAAAAGTTAAAACTTCTGGGCCCTATGCTACATACCTGTAATCCCAGCTGCTCAGAAGGCTGAGGCAGGAAGATTGTACAGTCAAGGCCAGGCTGGGCAACTTAGACTGTGTCTCAGAACAAAAAGAAAATGAATCTGTAACTCAGTGTTAGAGCACCCCTGCATTCCATACCCAGGACTGGGGGGAAAAAAATTAGAATAGGTAAAACTAGGTAGTATTTCCTAAAGGATTATTGAATTTTGGCTGCTTTTATGTGTTTTAGATTTAGATGTTCTGGTGTCTAAATTAGTACTTAAAATGGCATCTACTGTTGTAATATATTAAATGTTTAGGGTCAGCATTTAGTGACTGCTGTGTTAAGGCAGAGCTAGAGTGAACAAGGAGAGATCAGTTACTGAGAAGTTGCCATAGGCATCTAGGCAGGAGATAAAAGCAGCCTGTGGGAAAGATGTAGCCAGAACTGTGGAAGGAAAGAAATAAAAACATTCTTGAGAGCCAGGCTTAGTGGCACATGCCTGTAACCCTAGCACTCTGGGAGGATCCCATGTTTGAGCCCAGCATGAGTCAATTTAGTGACTTAGTGAGACCTTGTCTCAATATAAAGAATGGGCTGGGATGTAGCTCAGTGTAAAGGCCCCAGGTTCAGCTTCCAGTACTGCAAAACCAAACAAACAACAGCAGAAACTATTGAGAAGATCAGATCTATAGGACTTGTTGAGCAGTCTATGCAAGAGAGAGTTTAGAAAGGTGCCAGTGTTTCTGGCTCAAGTGACCATGAGGATTACAGTGCCATTTGATTTCAGATTTTTAGATGAGGGATGCTCAGCTGGTAAAATCTCTGTAAGTATACCAAAGTCCAGAAAACTCCAAAATCTGAAACACCTCTAGTTCAAATATTTCAGATAATTGATACTCAGCCGGTAGTAGGATTTCTAGAAATTTGTGTTTGTGTGAGATTGTTGCCTTTAAATGTATGGTAATATCTCATGACCTTTCTTTTTGTTACTTTGAGACAGGGACTTGCATTGTAGTTCAGACTGGCCTTAAGTGCACTATGTAACCTAGGCTGGCCTTGAACCTCATAGCAATCCCCCTGCCTCAGCCTCCTGACTGCTGGAATTACAGGCTAGAGTCATCACACCCAGGCTCCATGTTCTATTTTTTATGAAGATTTTGTCTTAGCAGAGCTATGAAGCTTTTAAGAAGAAAGTTCAATTCATTTAGGTTGAAAGATTTACTGGGTACGTGATAAAAGGACAAAACACCAGTCTGAGAATTCAATGAGGGTAGTTAATGACGATAGGTTCAAAGCTAGACTGAGGGAGGAAAAAAGACAGGAAGGAACTGATGATTAAGGAACAAGGAAAAAGATCAGCTTGCCTGGGTCCCTGCTGAAAGCAAGCAACAGGTGTCTTGAGGATAATTGAACTAATATGTCAGAAAATGCATGTGGTCTAAGAGTGAGAGTTTCTGAACATGTTTCTTGAGGATTACATATTTCAGGTGTTGACATATCCTGGATATGGAGTACAGCTGGAGTGAAGGACTGTGTCACTGTGAGGAAACCTAGAGATGTCTGGGCTGGAGGATGTACATGAGTCCTTCCACAATAATGGACACCTACTTTATGAGATATAGGAGTGAACAAAACACAGACAGCTGTAACCTTATGGAATTTAAATTCTCACGAAGGATGATGGACAGTAAACTAAAAACTAACTGAATGGTCAACTTTCCATGTAAATATATGTAATATGTTAGGCTGTGATTGGTCCCATAGAAAAAGCAGAGTAAGAGAGACTGGAATTGCTTCAGAAGTGGGAGCCAGTCATAATATTAATGATGGTGTTAGGCAGGTCTCTTTGAGGGAATAATCCTGGAGCTAATGCCAAATGGATAGGAGATGAGAGCTGTGTATGATTGGAATAAAAATATTCCAGGGAAGGGAATGCACAGAGCCATGCCCCTAAGATGGAAAGGGCTCAGTGTTTTCAGGGGGTCATCCAGGGTTCCCATGTGGCTGGATGCTAAGAGCAAAGAGGCTGAGGTTGAGATAAGATGGGAGTGGTGGAAGCTCCTGAGCAGGAGTGGCCAACCCTGACGCAAGCATGAAAAGGCTCCTTCTGGCTACTGTGGGGAGAGCAGAGTGAAGGGCAGGACCTGCTACATTCATCGTGGGAGTGGTGGTGGCTTGAACCAGGCTGGTAACTACGAAAGTAGTCAGATTCTTGCTATATTGTAAAGGCAGAGCTTCAGAGATTCCCATAGGTTGCTGACTGAAGTTACCCAGGAGGATGACAGGACTTGGAGTAATAAGAACTTTTACCAGATAGGAGTCTTCAGTGAATCTGGAGCTCACGTTTAGTCATGTTAGAGAGGTAGTCAGAAGACACTGTATGGCAGTTGAGTTGGTGAGGGAATGGTCTGGAGGCAGGGAGGTCATGCACAGTGGTCCAGGTGAGCCGTGGTGGGTTTAGATTAGAGCAGCTGGGGGACAGGTGGGCAGGAGGTTGTAAGTGCCACCAAGAGCTTCAGTCTAGGGGCCTTAAGGCTTACTGTGAATGCTTAAGAAAGGGAAAAGATTTATACTACTCTGACATTCTAAACTTTGGTATCTGGGAGAAGGACGTAAGTGATACAGAGAACACAGGAGAAGAAGCTGGTGTTATAGAAAGAACCACCATATTGATAATGGGTTATAGCTTGCATATTTTGATTTTTAAGAATAACGGCATCTTTGAGGTAAGATTTTGGCAGTGCAATAGGTAGAATGAGGTCACTAAGACTGTAAAGCTGCTTTTCCCACCTAAAACAGAAACTCTGGAGACTTGTAGGATGGCTGGCAGAATAGGAATGCAGGTACACTGGTATCAACAAGTGCATGGGGAAAGGGGAGATCATCTGAGGGTGGAGCTTGCCACCTCGCAACACAAGAAAAAGTGTGGTGGCAGCACAGCCCTGGTATCCATGCCCCGTCAGCTGGCGCAAGAGAGAAGGTTATCAGTGCCAAGGTAGATGCTGCCACTTTGACTCTGATGTCAGGAAGCAGACCTGGGGTTTTGGAATATGGGAAAGTATGTTTTTTCTTTCTGATTGCAAAGTTTAGCCTGCTTTCTACCAGGATGCTGCTTTGAGAAGTCCAATATGCAGCCTAGAGAGGTGTTCATTTGAGGAATATTTTGGGATGAGTTACATTCATGCAAGGGAGTTTTCAAAATTAACTTAAAAAGTTATAGTAGAAAAAGTATAAATTACAAATAATAAAAGGAATCCTTCTCACCTAGGGGTTCAGCTACAGGGTGTCACTAGAGATGCCTGCTGTTAGCTACCACCCCTCCTGCACTCCCCTGCACTGGGGGCTGGACCCAGGCCCTGGCTCTAGGGCTGCACTCCTAGCCCTTCTGTGTTTAGTTAAGATAGGGCTCCGCTAGGTTGTCCAGCCTCGAACTTGGGATCCTCTGCTTCAGCCTTACAGTAGCTGGGATTACAGGCATGTTCTACTTTGTACAGCTAAACTTAAAAAACAAAACAAAACAGTGTGTATGATACAGTGGAGGATAGTAAACTCTGCTGTTCTCACCACCCAGTTTAAGTTATAAATCTCTGCTGATGAGGCCATCCTTCCCCCGCCACAGCCACACATGTATGAGGCTCCAAACAATATATATGGTATTGTTTTAGATGTTATTAAACTTAGTATACACAGTATTGTTTTTCTGTAACCCTTTTTTATTTATTTATTTATTTTTTCCCATTAAGTTTATTGGTACATTTTAGGTATAAAATACAGTTACATTCATCATTGGGATCTTGTACCCTTACA